TTCCAAACAGGCAAAGACTGGCCGAACAGAGCGATGGTCTCAATGATACTTGATATTTATGAACTAATCATATAGGATGATGTCCCATCATTATGGACAATCAAAATAAATAAATCTTTTAATCATTCAAAATCCCACAGATCGTCCTGGCTAATTGAGTTGAATTTGTACTAATCATCCAGGATGATCTGTCGATCGTCCTGAACGATCTTTGTCAGTTTGTTGCAATTAAGGGAAAATTTAAAGCCCTTCTATATAAGCATTCTTGTTTACCCAAGATTGTATTTTTTATTGTTGTCCTAACCCGAGAGAGCCAAGAAGGGAGGGAGAGAAAGAGAGAGAGAGAGAGAGAGAGAGAGAGAGAGAGAGAGAGAGGATCTTGTGAGGAGGAGTTTATGAGGGTTTCACAAAGGTTGCTCCAAGCAAGGATCTAAGCCATCTTCTCCGATCGTCATCCCTGGTTCCTTAGAGGTTCGAGAGTGTTAGGAGAATATAATACTTAAAATAATAATATTTTGAATCATCAAAACTATACAAGTTTTGAAAATTTTACAAACAATAATTGTTTTTCCATCATAAAAAAGGGGGAGATTATTAAGAGAGTTGCTATTTGCATGTTTTATATTCTTACAACTTGTATAGTTTTGATGATTCCAAATATTATTATTTTAAGTATTATATTCTCCTAACACTTTTTGGAAGAATTATTTTTGCTCTTATGTGAACTAACATTTCAGGATAATCAAACTCCAGACTAATGAGGACTTCAAATCAAATTCGGCACATCATAGTTTGTAAATTGAAGTCTGTATTTTTCATTCTGTTAAAATTAAGAGAGTGTGATTGTAATTGAGTAACTTAGCACACACACACACACACTTTGGGAGATCTTTAAAAATTAAATTTTCTTATACTGATCATACGAGACGAACTAAGTTCGTACGAGATGATTAGAAAGTTATCCCCTTGAAAAGAGCAATGGAACGAACAGGAAGTGGGAAAAATTTTCTAAGTCCTGATCGTCAAGACAAATTTTTTTATTCATCCCTGGACGATGTGCTCTGGATTCTCACTTTGAACTGTTCGTCCAAACGAAGTGTACTATTCATCCCAGGACGATGTGCTCTAGATTCCCACATTATTCTGATCGTCTAGATGAAGTGTACTATTCATCACAGGACGATGTGCTCTGGATTCTCACATTATTCTGATCGTCCAGATGAAGTGTACTATTCATCCCAGGACGATGTTCTCTGGATTCTCACAATGTGCGGATCGTCCAGTCGATTCAGCCTGTTCGTGTCAGGACGAAGTTCTCTGGACACATGACTTGAACAGATCATCCATACGAACTATATTTATCCCAGGATGAAGTCCTCTATTCCTTGAAAAATTTGGGATCGTCCTGCAGTTCGTCCAAACCAACCCATGATATAATTGTTCATATCGAACGAACTTGGTTCGTACGGGACGATGATCGGGTACGAAGTTATTTCATACCAATATTCAAAGGGTTCGTACGCAATAGTTTTTTCACTATTCGTACGGGATGAAATCTCGATCATCCGGAATGATCGAGTGTGTACAGACTTGAAAGTCATCAGTTTTTGGACAGTTTTTTGTGTATTTCCTATATAAGGTCCACTTAAAATTGTCTTGTAATCTTTTTGCTTGTTGTTCTTTGTGTAAACTGAAGGGAGAGTGAAGGAGAGAGTGTGAGAGAGTGTTTAAAGGAGGATTCTTACTACTAGAGCATGAAGGATTCACTTGGTACTCAAAGGTAAGAATCTCCAATTGTGATTTGTTATTACTTCACTCTTTTCTCTCGTCCTTCTAGATTTCTTGTGAGAAGATCTTTCAAGGAGATCTAGTTCTCTGCCGACATTTGCAGAGTGTGAACAGCCGAATGGTTCTTTGCCTACACTTGGAGAGTGTGAACAGACGAAGGATTCTCTGCCTACACTTGAAGTGTGTGAACGGTTGAAGGGTTATCTGCCCACACTTGGAGAGTGTGAAAGGACGAAGGGTTCTCTGCCCACACTTGAAGAGTCTGAAAGGACGGACTGTTCTCTACCAACACTTGGAGAGTGTAAAAGGACGATAGTTCTTTGCCGGATCGAGTAGTGGTGGAAGAGAGTTTTTGTGAAGGCTTCTCTGCCTTCATGTGGGTATAAAAGGAGAGTCACTAGTGGTATTAGTGCAATACTCGGAGGGTTCCTCCGAGGAGTGGATGTAGGTCGTGTTTGATCGAACCACTATAAATCTTGTGTCTTTTTATTTTCCGCTGCTTTTGTTTTTACTTTTCTATATCGTTTAATTTGTGGTTGAAAAAACTTTTCTACAAAAATTCACTAAAGTTATTATCAGTTTAAATTTCAAAAGCGGGATAATTTTTTAATTACCAATTCACCCCTCCCCCTCTTGGTTAACCGCTGGGATATAAGCTTAGGTCTAACAACCTAATTCATATTGAACAAGATTCAACAGAGAGGACTACTTCAGCAATTAATTGAGGTTCCTAAGTCAAACAAAATATATAAAGTATATCTTAAATAAATTTGATAGGGAAGGTTGTAAGAGCATGAATACACCCATAAGAATTACCACCCAATTAGATAAGAATTACCACCCAAAAGAAGTTTAGAGGGATAATTGTTAAGATAGTTGCTATTTGCATGCTTTACATTTTTGCAACTTATGTAGTTTTGATGATTCCAAAGATTATTGTTCAAATGTGTAGTTATCTCCTAACATTTTTTAGAAGAATTGTATTTGCTCTTGTCTGTACTAACATTTAGGAAGACCAAACTCCAGACTACGAAGACTTCAAATTAAATTCAG